GAAAATTATAAGGTATTATCTTAAAAGAAGTTCGCTATAGTTTAGTAAACTTTGACTACTACCCATGATATAAGAAAGTCAATAAGTTCTACCAAAAAGAAAATTTCAAAATAAACCAAGCACTGAAATCATTAGAAATGTTAAACTAAGGAAAAATTGCAACAGAAAAGATTTTTCTCAAGATACCTCACTCTGCTTTCTTTTCTTAGTAAAAATATATCTAATAAACGTCTCTTGAAGGACTTCTTGTTTAACAAGGAAATGCCAAAGTCGTTTCACTGGAAGTGCAGAAGAATCTCGGGACCTATTAAAAAAATTAACATATTATTCCATTTTATAGTCCATAGAAAAATGTGTTTCATATTTTCAGATACTTTTTTTAAAAACATTCACAATCTATTACAAAGAAGACACAGCTCTACAAAATTTTATAATTTATTTTTAGTTCTGAAAACCATTCCCTTATCTAGCAATTAATTCTCTAGTTACACTGAATGAACCAGTGAAGCTGAGAGTCAAATTAATCTCTTTTTCTTTTTAAATTATACTTTAGGTTGGTCCTTTTGGTTAAAGCATATCACCAATGAACATAAAGTCATAGATTTCATTTCTAATAAGCTAACAAACTAAAACGCTTTGTTTTTTCAAGCTTATGAGCAATACTCATGGGCAGCTGCCTCAAAAAAAAGAATGAGTATGGTAGGCTCTGCTGCCCTAGGTATGAGGAAAAACTGAGAAGCAGTTCTGTATATTTACCTTGGGAAATTGAGTCATACAGACTGTCTCTCTCAGTTTTCACTTTTCTAAGTGAAATATAATTCCTTTTCCTCGTCTCATAGATTATGTTTGTCAAATCTTTAATTATCACTCTACTCTAAATACTCTTCAAACTGCTCATTACCTCATTAAATGGCCAGTCTGAAATGCTCCTATCAAAGGTCTTCGTAACCCTCCTTTTATAAGGAAGATATCATTTGCCAGTCTCCCAAACTTGTGATTTTTCTTGAACCATGTCTGATATCACATTACTTATTATACTAGCTTAAAAATCACCATGCAATGCAGAACCTGCCATACTTCATAAGAGCAATGTCCCTTTATGTTGTATTTGGTATTTCTATAGTTTATTCTCTCACAAAACTATCCTAAATTTGTTGCTTCCAATGTTTATCCTGTTCATTTCTAAATGCTAAATAAATAAAATGCTTTTAAAGGACTATATTGTATTTTTAATTAAATGACATTTGGAGAATCATATTACAGAGTATACTTGTTTATATATTAAAGTCCTCAAACCATCCACCACATGTTACACGTAAAAGCCCAGTGACAAATATTATAAAGGAAGTACCAACTTTTGCTTGAATATACAACATGACCTATGTTGTTTCATTGCTATGAAACGAAAATTATAAGGTATTATCTTAAAAGAAGTTCGCTATAGTTTAGTAAACTTTGACTACTACCCATGATATAAGAAAGTCAATAAGTTCTACCAAAAAGAAAATTTCAAAATAAACCAAGCACTGAAATCATTAGAAATGTTAAACTAAGGAAAAATTGCAACAGAAAAGATTTTTCTCAAGATACCTCACTCTGCTTTCTTTTCTTAGTAAAAATATATCTAATAAACGTCTCTTGAAGGACTTCTTGTTTAACAAGGAAATGCCAAAGTCGTTTCACTGGAAGTGCAGAAGAATCTCGGGACCTATTAAAAAAATTAACATATTACTCCATTTTATAGTCCATAGAAAAATGTGTTTCATATTTTCAGATACTTTTTTTAAAAACATTCACAATCTATTACAAAGAAGACACAGCTCTACAAAATTTTATAATTTATTTTTAGTTCTGAAAACCATTCCCTTATCTAGCAATTAATTCTCTAGTTACACTGAATGAACCAGTGAAGCTGAGAGTCAAATTAATCTCTTTTTCTTTTTAAATTATACTTTAGGTTGGTCCTTTTGGTTAAAGCATATCACCAATGAACATAAAGTCATAGATTTCATTTCTAATAAGCTAACAAACTAAAACGCTTTGTTTTTTCAAGCTTATGAGCAATACTCATGGGCAGCTGCCTCAAAAAAAAAAAAAAAAAAAAAAAGCATGCTGCTTATCAAAAGGGGCCTAGATGGGAGGTAGAAGATCAAAGTATCAATAAAAACCCGAAATATGTTTACTGTTAAATTACTAGAAAAAGTCAGTAGCACCTTGTTTGCATATGTAGGTTATCACCCAAAAAAATTTCTGTAAGAGTTCTGAAAACAACAAAAATACAGAAAGTAATACAATAAAGGCATTTTCCTGATTAAAAAGTAATATGCCTATTGAATTATAGGTAATACTGGGGAAAAAATCTTTTATCCTGATTTCTGATGTTTTCCTTAGAGTATACTGTTAAAAACAGGTTTGCAGTTTCGAAGTTATACATTTTTTTGAAGGCTACTGGCATATTTTGCCAACTATCTTCCAGGAAAGTTAAACCAAGCTACACTCTCATCAGCATTATAGGAGCTTTCTTACTTGAATGGAGTATTTTCAGGTTCTAGCATTGCTTTATTTCGAAGAATAGCTGGTCCAGCTCCTACTGAAAGGTCAGTTGGATATGTGTTGATATAGTTAGGGGGTGGACCTTCAAATTGATCCATTTTCTCTTGCAGGATCTGTTCCCAGTTCTCCAAGTTTTTAATCACAGCAATACCTAATGGTGATGTTACAGGCAGCTCTAAAAGGTGACAGAATATGTCGTTTTATTTTAATAAAAAATATTGACCATCATCCACCTATTCACAAAATCCAAAATCTTAGAGCCAAGACTTCTGGAAATATGAAAAAATGTGAAAATGTTAATCTAATACAGTTTGGACACCTAATGCTTTGAAAATAACAGAAGGCCAGCTCTCTAAAAGCTGAGAAAATGTCTAGATTCCCCAGTCTGGTTTCCTGCTCTTTCAATCT